AAAAAAACTAAGAAAACGTATCCTCTCATTGTGAACAAGTGAAGGTCACATTACCGCTCCCACAACCATAAACTTCGCAAGACCAAACAAGGCAAAGCTAGCTCCTCTGAAGCATAGCTGAGACTTTTGAGCCTACGAATGCATCTGCATGCCAAAATATATAGATTCCCAGTCAAGTTTGATCTTTTGATCATTTGTTCCAGGAAACCAGAGGAAGTAGAACTGAACTCACTTAACACAACCTCCTTTAGCTCATCCAGAAATCCATACTTCAATTCGCTCGTGGAAGTGTCGATTTCCTTCAGCCATCGCACCATTGAGGGAAGGCTAGAAAAAAGAATGACTAGAAATTTTAACGAATATCTCGTCGAAAAACAGCAAAAAAGCGAGAAGCAGCTATTTGGCTTTGCTTACCTCGATATACCCTGAAGAAGTGCATTTGCATAACAAGTGTTGCCCAGATTTCGCAGACCAGGTACACCAGCAGGTTTTGATCCTGTAACGATTTTGTTGAGAAAGACCTGCAGATGAAACATTCCAACATTTTATAAAACCGAATCGATGGAAAGGGTATATGACATTTGATTGCTTCTGCACACCGTAGAAATCCCAATAAAACTGGGGTTAGATGTGACTAGGCGAGCGATAATTGCTGCGAAAATCAAGGACAATTCGCAAACCGACGGTGCAACCTCGTTTTCTCGTGAAAGTACCAGAGAGACTGTGGTTTAGCATACACCATTTTGTGCGCTTTGCCAACAAACATGACCAAAAAAACAATAGGGACAGGCAAAGAGATGCCATACAGAAGCTATTATGGCCTTATGCAATAGAACAACGACGCTTCTCAGCCGTCTCCGCTTGTATTGCCTCTGTGACTGCGCGTCAGATCGATGGAAGACCTCCATAAAAAAGAACCTGGTCCACTGAGAGAACAATCGACTGCATTCTATGGCTGCTCGCATCCGAGATGATGTCATCCAGAAATTTCTCCGTTTCACTCTATGTCGGCATTGAGAAACGAGGATGATACTACGAAACCAGGCAGAGTGTGTAGCTATTCCCCTGACATTATAGAACACTTAGATAATAACTCTTCAGAGGCAGTCGATGGTAAGCGGAAAAGCCGGCATTTGTTAGGAAGGGCGAGACGGGGAGGGAGGAGGGAGCAGTTCACAAAATTGTCGTTCTGTCGTTTTTGACTGTGAACGGAGCTTTTCTAAGGATACATCCCATGGACGGCCGAGTTAGAAAATTAGATCTCCAGCTTTCTTCTGGGGTTAATAATGGCACGAGGGCGATTGTAGTGATTCATAGGAGCCGACCATACTAATTCTTGATTCCTGCGATTCATGTGGGTCCCGCAACAATGTATATTGCAAAAAAAACATATACTGAAAATGCAAAGCGCTCCGAAGAGCGGCACATGGAAGTCGCGGGATCATAGGAATTGCAGATACACGAATCCCGAAAATCACCTGCTTAAATAGTATGGCCGGTTCCATACTAAAAAACGAATGATAGGTTCGTTTCCAAACTTTTGAAGCTATGTCCGCCTAAGTGATCCGAATGATAGCTGGGTTCGAACTGCATTCATCACGATTGGGGTATTAGCGATACTGAAATGTTTACCAAACTTGATGCTTGAATCTAACATAAATAATAGGACTCACGCTCAA